AACAAAATGGATGATAAGTTTCTTATAAATAATTTAGTTGTTTATATTAAAAAGAATACTATCATTATCGAACAAAATTTTCTTAGAACACTATTATAAGTTTTTTTTATTTTTTTATTTATATATTATAAAATTATTATTTATTATAATTTTTTTATTATTAATAATTAAATTTAATATATTAATTTTAAAAACTTTTAATTTTTAATTTTTTTTATTTTTTAATCCTTTCAATAAAAATTAACTAACTCCCCCTCTTACTCTAAAGGAAGGAATTGCATAGTAAAACTCTTCAGAACCATTTGGACAGGTCACCTCCGTGAAATCTAGAAAAGTAGAATATTTTTGAGAGATAGCTAGATACTCTTTTAAGTTCTGAACAGTCGCCTTTAGAAAAGTGTTATGTAATAAGCAACCAATTAGCTTAGCTTAGTTCTGTTGGCACGTCTCCTTATATAAAATGACTACAGTGTCCAAGTTACAGCTACATGCAGCAACATTCACGCCCATTTATCTCCTTGCGTTCTGCTCTTTGATTCTTCTAGCGTGAGAGCTGACAACACAGTACCCTCTCTGTCGATTTTTATCCACAACAAACGGAAGAAAGGAGTGCTGTAGAGTTGTAAAGCGGTGAACTCTCGGGATAAAGAGAAATGACGAGGAGTCTCTACTTGTTGGTGCTAATACCAGTTCTGCTAAACTTGACTGTAGCAGTGCTTAGCGCAGATACGTATAGCAGATATGACTTCCCACCTGGCTTTATCTTTGGTTCTGCCACCTCTTCTTATCAGGTCAGTTTAATTTTGGCTGTTCCAACTTCAATCACTTTGATTTTTGCTCAGCAAAAAATCAAAGTGATTTCAAAATAGTAATGCAGATTGATTTTACATGAATAAAACATGACATCCTGTCACAAATTTGCTTAACCATGTGATAAGTCATGCAGCAACAGGTATTGCTTCACGGTGAAGTACATAGAAGTACAACAAGGGGGAAAAGTACCTTCAAAACAAATGTTCTCTCTTTCACGATCACAATCCAACCACAGTACCTAATAACCACAACCACATGCTTCTTGACTTAAATGTCTAGAAATATGGGCCTTTGGGTTTGATCCCGTCTTGATAACTGATGCTTGAAATAGATCTAGAGGATTAGATGCTGGAAAATCTGAATACATGTCCAATAACTGAAGTCACTTTAACTGTTTTTTTTCATTTTTAAGACAAAAAGAATGACGAGAGCTAAGAGCTTCTGATAAATTATTAGTATATGGACTAGGTGGAGGGAGCAGCAAGTGAAGATGGGAGGACTCCGAGCATTTGGGATACCTTTACGCATGCTGGTCAGCTTTCTTCTCCTACAAATTAATTTTTTACAAGTAATTAACCATACTCGTTTCCTTTAGTCGTTTTTTCTTTTCATTGTGTGGAAATATTGGTTAAAACTTATGATATTATTTCAAGAAAAAAAAAATTCATCGATATGTAAATAAAAACAATATTTTCAGGGTATGCAAATGGAGCCACTGGAGACATAGCTGCTGATCATTACCACAAATACAAGGTGCATCAAATGAGCTTGTCTCTAGCGTGATTTATGACTCTTTCCTACGCATCATTTAATTCCATTTTCCTCTTTTCTTTCATACGAAAATAAATAAATAAATAAGCTCTAGGATTTGAATTTAAATTCTCTATCCAAACTTTATCTTAGCTTAGAACGTTGGAGTTAGATTCAAGTGACAATTTCACATGTCTATTTTGTTAGCGTAAACAATGAAATACAAAGGTTTCTGGTATTTAATTTTTCCTAATGGCTGTATGACAATACTGTTTTCTCCAATGAAATTTATCACAACGATTATATAGGTATTACGTTGCCACTAAGTATTGGTTTGCTTAACTTTAAAAGCACTACATCAGATTCCACTCTAGGATGGTCTCTATGTCATTCTGGCTAACTTGCTTTTTACAGGAAGATGTGAAACTCATGGCAGAAATGGGCTTGGATGCCTACAGGTTTTCCATCTCCTGGTCAAGACTTATCCCAAGTACGATTTCGAAATTTGTCTTCGCTTGCAGTTGCAGCCAAAGAGTTATGGAGCAAGACTTGATGGCTTTTGCTTACATTTTGTCTTGTTGTTTCCTTTCAGATGGAAGAGGACCTGTCAATCCAAAGGGTTTAGAGTTTTACAACAATCTCATCGATGAACTAATCAGCCATGGTCGGGAACCAACTTTACATTTTCTTTAGCAGTTAGAATATGACTTCATTTCCAAAGCTGAAAAATGCTAGCCAGACACTAATATATTATATTCGTCTTGTACTCTACTGATATCTTTATTACTTGACCCTGCAGGAATACTACCTCATGTTACTTTGAATAATTATGATCTTCCACAGGCACTTGAAGATGAGTATGGAGGATGGATTGACCGAAGGATTGTGTACTTTTCTTTAATCTTCTCAACATTATTTTTCCTTTTTGTGCTTGGGGCACATAAGACTAAAAGAAGGTCAATGCATGTGATCGGTCGTCGCATTTCAATGCAGGAAAGACTTCACAGGATATGCAGATGTATGCTTCCGAGAATTTGGGGACAGAGTTTCATATTGGACTACTGTGAATGAGCCCAATGTGTTTGCCATTGGAGGTTATGATCAGGGAATTTCTCCTCCTAAGCATTGTTCTCCTCCATTTGGAACAAACTGTACTAGAGGCAACTCCTCCTCGGAGCCATACATAGCCGTCCATAACATCTTGTTGGCGCATGCGTCAGCAGCAAGATTGTACCGGGAAAAGTATCAAGTAATTTCCGAAACTTCTAATACGAATCCGTCAGTCAAATCCAAATGCATTTATTTTACTCTCTTTCGGAGTACTCTAGCAACAAGAAACCTGCTCCAGGCTCCTGCACGCAATCCATTTTGATAAACTTGGAAATTTGGAATTGGTTCCTGGCTTCCTGCACAAAAATTGTCTCTAAATGCTGTCTTGCTATACGCATTTAAAGACCGTTGTGTTAAAAAATAGTTAAGGAAAGTATCCACCATAAGAGCAATACATGCTACTTAATGCAGGGAAAGCAGCAGGGATTCATAGGTCTTAGCATCTTTGCTATTGGGGCTGTTCCTTCTACAAACTCAACGGAAGATATAATGGCAACTCAAAGAATGATGGACTTCTATATTGGTTGGTAAGCTAAGAATCCTACACGTGAAGTACTATTATCCATGCGCGTCTGAGGGAGACAAATTTTTGATAATGGTCATTTCTGTGTGGATATTGATGTTCCTCTCATCGAGATGGCCTTCAAAACTATTTTCACCCTGTAGGTTTTCTATTAGGGTTGAGAATTTATTCTAGCCTTTACTTACATGTGTCTTCAATGTTCTGCAGGATTGCAAACCCCTTGGTGTTTGGAGATTATCCCGACACGATGAAGAAATTTGTAGGCTCTCGAATGCCTAGCTTTACCAATCATGAATCTGAACTGGTTAGGGGTTCATTTGACTTCCTAGGGGTAATACATTACTCAACATGTAATATCCGAGACAGCCCTGGCAGTTTGGAATTGAAACAAAGAGACTTTAACATGGATATAGCTGCAAGCATAAGCAGTATGTTCTTCACGTATCCTTACCTAAATTGAATTTACTTGGTGCCTTGACACATTGAACTTAAATAATTCAAGCATGCTGATGTATCAAGGCGATGTTAATGTATCCACTAAACCAAAAAGCTAATTGATTCTGTTTGTGGCAGATTATGATGATTTTTTCACGGCTTCAGAGGTGAGTTGAAAGATTGATATTGTTACGAGTAGTTTTGGTTTTCCTTGTCATAATTCACTGGATTACTAATCTGCTACGTTACTCAGTGGCCTATTCTTCCTTGGGGTCTGCAAGGAGTGCTGGAGTATCTTAAGCAAGCTTATGGCAATCCCCCTATTTACATTCTTGAAAACGGTCTTTCTTTCTCTCTCTCTCTCTCTCTCACTACACAACTGCTAATTGTTGAAGTGAAACCCTTCTTTAAAAAAATAGCTCTTGATGGTATGGTGTCTCGGCAGGTCAGAGAACTCCACGCAATTCAACCTTGGAAGACACATCGAGGGTGAAATATCTGCAGGCATATATTGGAAGTGTACTCGATGCTATAAGGTAAATACATATGAAATTTAAACCAACCCCTAAGACTAATGAGATCTTTAAATCATCGCTTGAAGTTGATTTTTGGACTGTGATTCTATCGGTTAGAGGTCATAAGCCTTTTAACATGGAAATCGTCTAAGCCTTTTTTTTTTTTTCCTGAGTAAGTATTAGATTTCAGCTTTTTGTCTGAATGGTCTAAATGTGTTTAATGCTTTTCTTTTCTTCTCGTTCTTAAAATTTTTGAAGGAATGGCTCAGATACAAGAGGGTACTTTGTGTGGTCCTTTTTAGATGTATTCGAGCTGTTGGATGGTTATGAATCAGGGTACGGGCTATACTATGTAGATTTGGATGATCCTGATTTGAAGAGATACCCCAAACTTTCGAGGGATTGGTATTCCCACTTTCTAAACGGAGGAAGTGTCAGCCCAGATGCAGTGATCGAGCTCCAGAAGAATTTCTCTGCTCTTTCCCAAGGCCATTTCTTCCAGTAGGCTGATTTCAAACGGAAAAGAATAAAGGCCTTGTTTTTAAGATGTACTTTCCCCTTTTGGCCAAACAAAGGGTCAGACTCCCTGAAAATAGTTATATCATTCAATAAGTTATCCTTAATCCACGAGGCTATTACTTCCTGATTTCCCTAAAATTCAATAGCAATATACAAATGCCTGCATAACAGTAACGATGCTAGTTGCAGGTCCCTGACTGCATCTTCAAACCTCAAACCGAGCGAAGCTTACCACTCAGTTTTCGAGGATCAGTTCTTCATTTCTCTTATTTATACAGCAGTGAAAGACTGGAACTATAATTTAGAAAGCTAACAGCAAAAGCAGACTAACATAAGATACGCCCCTCCCTTGCATCAAGTTTACCCTTCTTACGCGCAGGAAATCCTTAAAAGCACCCCAACCATTATCTTTTGTTTTGAAAATCCTATGTGCAATATAGCCTCCTCCTATCTAGTTGAGAAATTTAAACGACATAGATAAGAGAGAGATCACAGCATAGCACGTGATGAGAAAGGGCACTTACCAATTTCAAGGTCTGCCTGACAGGCAAATTTGCCATAATTTACAAAAATGGGCAAAGTTTATCAATTCTTATAGTTTGCTTTCATGCCAGTCATAAATTCAGATGCAATCATTTGAAACAAACATGCACAAACCAATTGATAAGCATTTGCAACCAAGCTTTGACTGGATCCTCTAAGCAAAATGCCCATGCAGGAAGCTCCTAGACCTGTTGCCAGAATCAGCGCTAGATGTAGGATGATATGACCCCCAACCTGAGTCTCTTGATACAGTTGGGAAATGAGATAATCGCTCTCTTTCCAGAGCATTATAATTACTTGGAAAAAAACTTTCTGCTTCATGTAGGTTTTGGCCTGATGAACTTGATGGAGGATAGATATAGAAGCCACCACCTTGATCAGGTTGTGGGACTGCTGTGGCTACTGGGGCTAAACCTCTTGTCATACCAGGTACTACAGGAGTAGGCACACCAGGTCGATTGAAACGCTGTTGATTGAAATGATGTTGCTGACGATAAAAGGCGAGAGATGCCTGGATCCTATCATGGGTATGAGCACTGCTGCCAGGATGACGAGGAAAAACTGAAGAGACAAACGAACTCCCAGCTCTAGAACTGGACCTATGAAGAGTAAACAACAATTTAGTTTTCTAATAGTCAACAGCATTCATGTTAAAAAGAAAAGACAAGCATCTCTTTTTCCAATCATGTTAGGTATTTTGAATAAAAGAGTACTGCATTCTTAAATTAAAGGACTAAATTAATCACTTTGGGCTCACAAACAAAGAGGACTTATCTTCCTTTGATTTTTAACACAACTACTTGGCTTTTAAACACATATAACATGATTACACCACAGACCATGTGCTGTCATACCTAGAATTGGAGAGCATTACCATGACATTCACCCCACACCCGCCCACCCGACAAAAAAAGTTATTATGACTATTTGAATGTGGAACAGAACTAATTGACCACATGACTGTCACGTTTACATAGTCACCGCCCATAACATCAGGTAGATTCAAACCATCTTAGCCGACATCTTACCCATGGTCAAAGGGAAAATGATGTGGAAAAGATCTGGGTCGACTTAAAGCATCAAGTTCACCGTTAGAAGATCTCAGAGCTGCAGCTGGAACAGAAGCTGGATCAGTATGGCTGATATGGCTATCAGATACAGAGAAATTTGGAGGATGCCGGCCCCAACTATGATATTGGATACTAATGGTAGGCAAAGCATGGGGGATAAAAATCTCATTGTGTCCAGAGAGGCTGTTCCAATGGCGATTAAAGTTGGGATCATCAACACTATCACTAGATCTTAGAGTTGTGGGTGGAAGTGGTCCAACATATGCAACATATGAATGAGCCACAGATGAAGCAGCAGCGTGTTCAGCAAATATGGCATGGTGTCCATGTATTTCATGATCTACATGGAGAAGAAATTTCATTTTTGTGTCATATAGTTGCTTCATTGAGTCACCAGGAAAATGGGACGAAGAAAGTAACCTTAGTCATAAAAAATCTTACATGTAGTTGATGGAGATTCCACTTCCCTGAAAGATGTAAAAAAGCATCAACATGTCAGAGACAGCAGTAATGTTTTTATCAAAGGAATTGCCAAACATTTTCAGTAAACAGACAACAAGATTCTTATATAATTGCTTTTCCATCTTTTTTTACAGTTCCAACAATTAGAACTGGAGAAATGAGAGATCTGACACCATAAGAAAACAACTGCAGTAGCTGAACCAAAATGGAATATTTCCTCTCAAAATAGAATGTGCACAGCATTCATCACTACTTATAATCCTTCCATTATAAGTTAAAACCTTGTACTCAGCATCCAACAATCTTTTAACCTTACTATTACTTCAAATGACATTGTCTGTCAAAGGAAAATGTATGTGCATAAGACTCAAAAAGAAATGTAGATGTAAATCCCTTCATTTTAAGAGCCCAGAATTTGCAAAATGTAACGAGTTCCAAAAAATGGATGGCAATAAAGCAATAAGCTATTGTCTGCAATTTAACCAGTTTAAGGGAAGACAACCACTTCAACCTCATTAGTCTAGTTCCTCAAACTTCTTAGAAAGAAAAACTTCAGCAAGAAACTAGCTATCAGAGTTAGGAGGTTGTTATTATCTTTTGGGTAAAAAAGCTAAAATGCTAAAGAAATCAATGCCTAAGGAGAGGAGTAAGCAGGTGAAGAGATGTGAACATCAGAGAAAAAAATTCCAACAATTCCAGATATACAGCTCAAATTCTTGCAAGCAATAATGTTAATTTTCTTTCAGAACTAACAACTATAAATTCAAGAGAATATAAGCTTACAGTTGTGAAAACAAAGTACAAATAGGTCAAAATGAAATCAACGCCACAAAAAGAGAGATCTTGCTTACTCAGATGATGAACCAATTCTTGAAAATTCACCAAATGGACACCATTGAACTCTAAATGGCTGCAAAGACAAAATAATAAAGGTGCTAGGGCAGTGAGATCATAAACATCATATCATGAACAACATTATGAGGAAGATTTTAACCAACATTTTGTAGTAGCAAACAAAATGTGGATTTAAAAATGAAAAAAATATGTGGCACGTATATAACAACTTTTGTAATGGGCAAGAAATGAGAGTCCACATTCTTCGTACTATTTTAGTGTTGAAGGATCTTAACAGTCTTACTATTATTCTTATTTTATTTTTTGATATTTACTTTTTTAACAAAGAAAGGATTCTTATTAAGACTCTTTAAAATCTCTCTCAAAAGAGATAAGTTTGATAACTACCACGATGAAAAGGACAGCGTATAGACGAGATAGTTATTTATTTTTTAACTTTTCTTTCAGCAAACTGAAGCCTTTTGATTATTTATTTTATTTTTACTAGGACATCAAAGCAGCATAAAGATGAAAAAACATAGACAATATTACAAGCATAATCTGCTTCAACCTAGAAGACATTATGATTTTAGGCATGCCCTTGGACTCAGGACAGTAGTTTGAAAAGATTATATCACTTCAAAGTTTAAAATGCACCAATAGTAATTGCGTAAGTTGAAAGATGTGTGTTTTAAGATAACAAACAACAATAGAGACTAACAAAAAACATAGAAAGTTTTGTTATACCATTTCAGAATAACCTGGATCATAATAATCATCATCAAGATTCCAGTCCTCCATGCTTAACTCAGGAAGTGATCGGCTAGAGCCATTTGCAAACAACCATTGACCTTTTTCAACCTTCCGGCAATTTGGACATTGCATAGCCCCCTTCATATTAAATGCCGAACCAATGCAATCTGAAGAGTATGGGTCATAAGCAGCAAATCATCAAAACCAATAACGATGGAATAAACCAACTAGAAGACGACTAGAAACAAGGAGAAACCGTAAATGCATGAAGTTTGCTTCATCTAAAAATCTCTTTGGCCTTCATCCTTAGTTTATCTGACAACCTTCCTACTCCTGCCTAAAAGTTATTATTCCTATTGAATGGCAACCAATTGATCCTTAATTTCCTACATCAAATTGACTAAGATTATCTCCCTATACTTCTATCATCATAATCTCATCGATAATAACCCAAAACTCGCAAAAATCATCAGTAGTTTATTTTATTTTGCTTCACAACGAAATCAAAACATATGAAATGTTAACAAGCAGTAATCCAACTTAAAATTTAATCTTTTACCAGAAAAAAAAAATTGAAAACGGCATAACTAAGAAGCATGAAATATACCCAGATGGAATTCATGACCACATTGGAGCTTAGCCCTTGATCTGCCGCCAGAATCGGAGACTAAATCAAGACAAATCGAGCACGAGACCTCAGAAGATGGAGGTACTGCAGCATCCCCAGCATGACCGTCGATCAACTGATGATGATGATCATCGTGATCATGATCATCGTGACCACCAAGTTGAGAGGCTTTCGAACCCACCATACCCTTCTTCCACCAATGAAAATCGCATAAGGAAAAAAAGCATAACCAAATTGCAAAACCTCCCAAAGCAAAGAATTTTTTTGCCCTTTCTCGGTTGTCTATCTGGTGAGTGTTTGGTTTGGATGTGGGGAAATCTATCTGATGTTTCTGAGTCCTACCTGTCAGATTACGTGGTTGGAACTCATCAGTTTTATACGGAATTTTGTCTTAAAATTACGGTGTATTGCAATACTATTTTTTTACTACACCGAAAACAAATACTGTCCTTTTATTATTATTATTCATATAAATTTTTAACTTCTAATGTGGCCACTTTTCACCTAAATAATGACTCATTAATTACTTATTGATTTATTCTCATAAAATAATTTATATTTTTTAGCAAAAATAGCTACATACCATGAAAATTAATTAAGATTTTGAAGAAAAAAATAGTAAAAGGGCGAAGTATGTTATATATAGTATATTGAATTAGTGAAGTAATTAACATATGAGTATAGGAATTCAGTCAATGTAGAACATAAGGCAAGTAGCTTGACAGTTCAGTTGGGGGCAATTCCAGTTGCTTCCCTGGTGTTGTTGTCGGCCGATTTGTTTAAGAATAAAGTTGTTTTGAGACAACGAAGTTACGAGCCATTTGAACAGATAACAGCTCATCCCGTATTTTCTAAAAAGTAAAGAAGATGTCATGCTCAAAGGCCAAAGCAGTCCTTGCTGGGAATCATCCTTGAGAATTTACCTTGATGTAGATTTGTGATCACCCTTGATTAGCTTAGATCGTGTGGTCGGATTGGTGGATTGATTATGTCATAAAAAGAGTCTCATTAATGTATTCCTCCACGAAGAAGAATGAAAAAAGCTTGTTTATGTATTGCTGGAACATTAGCCGAAGAGATTCATACACCTTCAATGCACAAATTATCTGCTTTAGCTTCATATGTTCGAGATGCTGAAAGTCTGAGACTGCCAAGCCATAAAAAAATAATCGAAAAGATTATTATTCAGGCGAGCCAAACCCCAACGAAAAAGGATCAAACTTCTTTCACATACTTGGTTTTTTTTTTTTTTTTTTGGTGTCTCGTGAATATTCCAGGAAGATGAAAATTAGAACCAATCATTGCTAATCTTCCACATACTTCATTCAATTTTAATTTTTTTATTTTTAATTTATATTATTATTATTTATATTTTTTAATTCTCTTTGTTTATATGTTATAAGTTTCTATATATTTGTTTTTTAAAATTTTTACGATCTATTAAGCATTTTTTTGTTATATCATATGAAAATTGTATTTTTTACTTATCATATTCATTTTTTTTTTGTTATTTAGATTTTATTTTTCATAATTTTAATATTTAAAAAATAATAAATTATTATATAATTCTCAAATATAAGACATAGTGTTGTATTGTTGTTTAAAATTTTATCAATACATCATTTTTTAATTAATCTTAATTATGTAAGAGAAAATTATTTTGAGTATATCTTTTTCATATATTTTACATTTTATATTTAATTAAAAAAATTATCTTGAATTTATAATCTTTAAATAATCTTAATTATATAAGAAGAAATTATTAATCTTGTATATCATATTTAATTATTGATACTTTATACATTATAGTTTTATATTTAGTATTATAAGTTTAGATAGAAATAAAATAAGAGTAGTAGATGTTGAATGCATTAACTTTTCTTTTTAAGTTTGATTAAAGTATGAGTAAGTTGAAAATATTTAACAAATTTCTTCCAAGAAAATATGTAAATCGTCCAAATGATTCTCTTGCACTTGTACCATTAAGTTTCAATACTTCAACTCATAAATAAAAATAATGTAAATCAAAATATCTAACACTCAATTTTAAAAAAATAAATTTTTTCAATACATAATTTTTAATTGATAAATTTAAATTTAAAAAATATAATAAAACATATGGATCCTTAAAAAACTATTATAAATTTTTATATTTACATATTATATAAAATTATTTTTTATTAATAATTTTTTAATAATTAATTAAATTTAATATATTAATTTTTTAAAATTTTTAATCTTTATCCATCCATTTTTAATACCTCAACAAAAGTTAGCTAACTTCTAATACCTCAACAAAAGTTAGCTCACTTCGTCACAGATTAATCCTAGGCCAGGCTAGCAACTCAAAAGGGCTGTGTAACCTGTCATTTGTGGGTAGCTGTAAGCCAGTTTCTACTAATCACGACAAATTCCTACTAGTTGCCAAATCCACAGTCCTTATCTATACTATATATCGCTTCATATAACTCAACGTACCAGTAAAGTCCACCGAATGCTTCTAAACCCTCTGATTTCTGTTCTGTTCAGATTCAGGTAATAAATCAACTTCTTCTGTACTCATATAATTCTCCCATGCGTATCAGAGCCTAGGGAAATGCTCGCCAGTACAGGCAACACTCCATTCTACTTCCCCAGATCATTAACCATTGGCTCACCACTCCTTAGGGGCTCTCTCCAACTTGTTACGGATGCACAGGAGGAACAATATATATCACAACTTGCAACCCTCCATTCTGTTTTGAATGCAATCAATCCCTCATTTGGCTCCCTCAGCTTGTCTATTCCTTATCCTATGACCTAGGCTTTGTCAAAACGTTTACTTAACAATCACTGTCCCTGACTGAATCTATTTGAATGGCTTGGCCTTGGATACCTGCACATATCTATTGTATTGGATGCATGTACCAAACAACCTCAAAGGCAAATTAACTGTTGAAATGATGTCCAACCGAAGATGAATAGCCATTTCCAATTTTATAGAACTAAAAACCACCAAAAGCAATTGTAAATGACGGTATCAATAGAACTTGATCAAGGTAGTTTAAAATACTCAAATATCCATGACAAACCCAAGCTTAAATCCAGCAATATCGGTCCAGAGTTCTCTGCATAAGAGTATCTGCAATACTATGAATAGAAAAAGGAACAACGAAAATGAACCTTTCACAAGTTTAGTCCTTTCTTTTACTTCAAGCTGGCTTTTCATGGAGCAGGATAAACCACTGATAAAAAATTATTTAAGCACTAGCATCAGCATGACAGATTAAGCAGAAAATATTTAGAGTTACACTTGCACAGGCACAATTAAAATATGGTAATAAGAAGACATCAGATGCATAACAATATATAAAATGTGCTTATTTATACCAACACAAAATGTTTAGCACAATTGACGGTACAGTGTACACCATCATACTTATTAGGTAACTAATAAAAAGCTGTAACCACTCCTGTTTGATACTTTATTTAGAGGCTCATATATGGATTAATGTTTGCTCTTAGGCCTCTTCACGATCAGCACAGAACAGTGAGCATGATGAGCACAATAATCACTCACACTGCCAAGAACAGCCCTGAAAGAGAATTATGTAGTATTTTGTTAAAAGCTGTAGTGAAATAAATTTAAATTGCCAAAGGTGAAAAATTAGAGATGTCTGTTTGTGTTAGAAAGTTTTTTCATGCATGTGGCCAAGAAAATGAAGTTGAAATTTTTGGGAAGAAGTCTTCATAGTGTATGAGAAGATTCAACGAGAGGAACTGTGATAGTGAGAATATAAAGCCAATTTATAATCTGCAAGATCATATAGCAGGGCTTCTCTGTAAACACTGATATATCATGATTGTAAAGAAGGTCAACGGCCTAGGGTTAACACTAAACTAGATGGTCAAGTTTTGCCGCTGGGCGTATTGCGTCAAGGGCAGATGCCCCTTGCAGGATGCAAAGTGTAGAAGAAGCTTAGTTTCAAACTCGTGTAAATGGAAGAGGGAAAAGGGGTAATGCGACAACCTCCTATTGTCTAGCCTACCCTTTAAACCAAAAATTAACGATAATAAAACAAATATCATATGTAGCAACATTAGCATACTTGAAAGTTTCTCCCCAAAAACCAAGCTAAATATCAATTTTCTGGAAATAATGATTCATTTAGTCATTTTGAAACTTGATAGACTATAATACTTTCTTAAATAGAAAGAAAAGGGTAAATGGCTCATCATGAAGTTCCAAAACTACATTTTTACCTCTTTATAGCTCCATAACCATGGCTGCCAACAACAAGCATCGAGGCATGGTGTCTTTCTACAGCCTCGCAAAGAACATTCCTAGCATCACCTTCTACCACTTCAACTACAGCATCGTTCACCTGCATAAAACCTGATACAATTAGAGAGGCTGCTAGGAGAGGCATATCTACCACAGTGACTACACTTCACATTCTAGGTGGTGAAGAAGTGTTTAGTCGAGCTGATAACTTTTTGTTTGGTGGGGTTTCATTTCGATTAGGCTAAAAAGGTAGTTTGAAATCTGGACCTTGACCCTCCAATAAATTACTGAGAGAAATTGCAAAGTTTCTCATTGACTTGATATAGGAGTCATAGAGTTATATCAATGAATTGACTAACGTTATAAAATTTTCAACCAACTGAGGTTAATATCAAATACTATCATTGTCCAAAATAAACATTGTTGACCTTCAATTTATAGGTCTAACCTCAAAACATCTACAAACATCTACCAACAGCTATTGTTCTGTTCTGTAGTTCCTATATCAGAAAACTAACAATTAGCAAAAATGATCATCGATTATATACCGATTTACTAAGGCAGAGTTCCTTAGCTTTCTCTACAACCCTGGCAGCTATCTTCCTCAAATCCGCCTCCACATACGGCAGTACGTCAGCAGCTCCTAAAATAATAAGTCGATAACAAAATTACTACTACTGCACATTAAGAAAAACGCTCCAAAAATCAGAGCACGCTCACATACCCGGTCCAGCTAGACCAACAGCAGAAGATGCAGAAGGCTTCGCGTGAACGACGAAGAGCTTGAAAGGTGGATTGGAAGCGAGAGGAGCAAAGAAGTGATCGAGCGTCCATTCCAGCGCGTAATTGCTATGCTCGCTTTCGTCGATCCCAACCACCATGGCTTGCTTCCCCGACGTCGCCATTGCAGCTCTCTAGTTCTTTCTCTAAATTACAGAGTCTCCCTTTTTTTGCCTTTTTGGGTTTGAGTTTTGACTTAGTCTTGAATGAACGAGGAAGAGGTACGAGAAGAGGAATTTATACGGGAGAAGAAAGAAAGAGGGTCGCGTCAAGCATAAGCGTGTTAAAATAGCCTAGAAGATTTAGCTAGGCGACACGATACACCGATCGGGATTTGGTGCCTATCCCTAGACGTAGAGGCAATGAATGACAAATCATTTGGCATTTGTTTTAAAATATTCTATTCTGGTGACTTCTAATTATAATTACACATAAATTTATTAATTTATAAAATAAATATTTCACCTCAAAATAATTAAACAAATTATATTAATTTTAAATTAAAATATTTAAAATATATTTTTTTACCCATGACCAATATTAGCTCAAATTTGACTTAATTTTTTAAAAAATTTCAAATTTAATACTACATTTAAATATTTAATTTATTAATTAATATATAATCTCTTATTTAAAAAATAAAATTTGAATTCCTCTTTTCATAATTATAAAATAAAATCTCAAATTTGATGATCTCAAAACCACCAAAATTAGTACAACATCAAAGCTAATGCTCCTCGTGCATCTGTGCTCTTTGGAAAGCACGCATATGGTTTCGCACGTTTCCCTGCACCAAAACGGTGCTCTTCAGGAAAGCACCCAATCGGTGTTAAAAATAAAAAATAATAACTTATGACAATTTTTAAAATTAATAAAAAATAAAAATTATTTTTTTAATATTATCATATTAATAAATTAATTAAAATATTAATGATGAATTAATGGTTCGATTTATGTGTAATATTTTTTTAAAATGAATTATTTATTTTAAAATTAATAAATTTTTATAAAATTATAATTAAAAGTCTGAGAAGAGATGGTACTTTATTTCATTAATTGGCGTTCAAATTTCCACTCGATTTATAATTTTAGATTTTGGGTTTCATGTGATGTTTTGTCTGGGAATACCAATATGGCCACGTGGGATGCGTCACGTGTTCTTACGCTGGAGTGAGTATGAGAACGGCGCATGTTCGGTCTTCTTCCAGCTCAAAATTATGGGCCTCTTTTAGCCTCTTCGACAGGAAAACCAGCCTAAATTAATGGGCTTCCCAGCAAAAAGAGCCGACGGATTCCTTCTTGGGGAAAAGCCTTAGCTAATCAAGCAAAGATGTCACCTGATAACAGCGTAATGGACCTAATGGTAGATCCGACTTGTGGAAAGAAAATTTTAACCTCAAATCTGCCTACCCATATCTATAATATATATATATATATAGTGACCGTTTGATTATTTTTAATTTATTTATTTTTTAAAAGTAAGAATTAAGTCAAATAGTATTTTATGATAAGTTTTTTAAAAAATAATTTTTTAAAGAATAAAATTTAATGAAAAAACTTAAAAAAATTCATAATAAGTGCTTTCTTTTTATTTTTTTTTCAAATACATCAGTTTGTTAAGAGTTTTTTTTTTTTTTCAA